CCACAGATAAAATATTTTAGTTTTTGCATCAGCTTCAATTTCTTTTACCATGTCACTAGCTAGTACTGATTGGAAAGATTTGGGTCTCATTTTACATCTCTTGTTGAAATAGAAGTTATTTGTTTGGTCAAACCAGACAAGCTTAGATTTTTTGAGTCAAACTGGACTAGCTGGTAGTGATTAGTACTGTTGTAATAAACATTTATGAAGACTTTCTGCCAAAGTTTTATGTTCTTGCAAGTGAAATAAAGAAGTGTTTGAAGAGATTATGTCTATCAAAATTCAAAACACGTTTAAGGGTCCAGCTGTTTTGAATTCTTGAAACATGTCAATGAAAATAATGTGTCAAAACAGACAAATCTTGGGAACTGAAGATTGTTTCACATCTCTCGTTTCTTGTCTTGGTTTTCGGGTTCTGGAAGTTTCATTGATGGCAAAAACCACAAAGCCATTTATGTGAATGTGGTGGTCCTGTTAGCTTTGTTATCATTATAGATCTTTGTGTATTTGCAGTCCAAGTGTTCCTGTTTTTGCTTACATGACCAGATATACTTTGTGGTCCGAATGACATCTGGTCCTAATCTCAGTTTTGTGGTCCTCAAATCTTTTCGAAGAAAATCTTTTATACACTTTTGTGATGTTTCAACGTTTTTGTCTTTTGATTAGTCCGAATCTAAGTACTGGGGTCTCTTCGTGTTCCCTATGTCTTTATTCCAAACCAATAAAAAGATTATCTTTTTACTGATTAATGAAATCTGTAGTACTTGGACGAGAACAAATCGTTGATTCTGAAGATAGTTGAGTCTCAGAACTCGGGGAAGCTCAGCGAGTGCGCCGAGTAAGACCAACATATCTCCTTGAATTCATTTGTGTTCTGTTGAATAATTGAAATAATCAAAATGGTGAACCTAATGTTACAGGAATCAGGCAAGGCTTCAACGCAACCTAATGTACTTAGCTGCAATTGCAGATTCTCAGCCTCAACCTCCAAGCGTGCATAGCCAGGTAACAACAGTTGAATCAGAATAGTTTTTCTTTTCAAATTTTGTTGTATAAAAATCGAATAACTCATTGGTATTGCTGGGT